TCATTTTGTGTATATGGCACATTACTGTGGCAACGGTAGTTTGCCAAAACATGTTTGTACTTTCTGATGTTAACACCAAGACACTTGGCTCTCCTTAGCATGGATTTAATAATTATCTCTGGGAAAGCCTGGTCTAAGTTACTGGTGACGGAAAATTCCTTGATTTAAGAATTTGTTTCATTAAGAGTCTTGCATAAAATGGGCTTAAGCATGCAAATGCTAGAGTCCTGAATTTTGTTTTGGAGATAGAAAAATGTTGCTCAGGTTTTTATTGGTTGTCATTTTCACACTGTAGCTTAAAGAAGGAGTTAAAGATGAAAATGCTCCAGTTGTTTAAAACCAGTAACCATTGAAGCAAATCCTCTCAATGCCAGAGAAAGTTAGAATAAGACATTATTCAATGCAAAGTGTTCCGACGCTAGCCGCTTTTATTTTTTACCAGGATAAGGTTTAATATTCACGTGTACAACGACAAAGTGAACAACTTAGACATCATATCCTGGGTTGGGAGGTGATCCAATAGTTTTTTCAATCCAGCTCAGGTGGTCTTGATGGCAGAGGTCCATGAATGCTGCTGGTTTCCTGCATGGATAAACAGAATCTCCAACGAAAACATCGACACCATAAATCCTGCCTTTGTACTCAACTCCTCTACCGGAGTCGCCCTGTGACAGACAAACGTTACACTTCAGAAAAACTAGTCAGATTTAACAAAATGAAGATGTGTCTTTAAAACTGCAAGTTTTTTTTTTTTACTATCTATTGCAACTTACAAAGCACAGATCCACTCCTGGAGTTTGGCCACAGAACCAATATTGGTAACTGTACCACGAGTTCACGGCAACCTGTTGTTGTCTGAGTCGAGTACATCTAACCTTATTAATAATCCCACACTGAAGAACTGGTGTATGGCCAGGTTCTGGAGAAACAGAGTAGCTTAATTAAATCATTTCAATGTAAAATTATTACACACTCGGAATCACAATAGACTGTATATAGCCTTATATAACGTCTACAAAATATAAAAAGAAAGGGAAATAAACTTGCGTCTTTTTGTAAAAAAGCTTCCAAAAGTCGAACCTCGACCTGCAATCTGCATCTCATCGCCTCTGAAATTGATAAAATAAAAGATTTAAAAAAGTTAAACACCACCAAGCAATCACAAAAAAATGTCAACATTAATCATCATGGTGGGAGATAACATTTCCTACAGAGGGTAAGCAGTAATTTTAACAATCTTATTATTATATCAAGAAATCTGGTACCATATTAGTATTTTCTCAAACTCTCTCTATATGTGGTGAAAATGTAGTTACCTGGCCCAATATATGTAGACTGAAAGAAATCCAACAGTGCTTCATTTATAATAGTAATACGTCAAATTTATTTATACAGCATGATACCGGCGCTCATCCTGCCTGCATCGTTGGCCCCCGATGAGTCTCTTTTGCAGATCAACCTTTGAGCTTGTTGTGATGCCTAAAAATGAAAGTCATCAAATGGTGAGGCTCAGTTTTGTGGTGAAAATTGATCAAGTCAGATCATGTTCTGGAATAATCTACTAAATGTCACAAACTTTCATGAGATTCACTTTTGGGTTTTGTGCCAGAGATCCGACAGACCTTTCCTTGCCCACCACGCCTTCGACACATCTGATTTTTATTGAAAAGCTTGCAACGTTAAGCTTAAACTCAACTTTATTGAAAGCAATTCTCATTCCACATGTCTGAAAGTTTGATCATTTCTTCCCAAAATGCAATTATACAAAATACACAGCTTTTTCTTCCGGTTTCCATGTGTTACTTTCACCAATTATTAGTGCAAGAACAAAGCACTTAATAGGAAAAAAAAACAGAAACATTAGTGTTTACCTGCAAATAAGGAATACTAAATAAAGAATGGTCAAATGCAACATGTGACACTCACCAAGCCACAGCAGAACCAGGAGAACCCTCAAGGCAGTCATTGTTATAACTTGGTGCCTATAGACTGGTGACCCAAGGAACCTTTTATACTCTACAAGCTTGTTCACCAACCAATCACATTTCAAAGACTTAACAAAAATATGTTCGTTGGGCAACCATATTTCTGTTGCCTCATTGTGCAATGGTTAGTGACATTGCACAACAATGGCTAAGGACAAATTTTGGTTGTCATTCCAAACAATCTTTTAAAGAAATAAATGCAAACTTTAACTTCTAAATTTCTTGTGAAATGAAAAGGAACGAAGTTGATGCTAAAATGGATCTTGGAACACTTTTTTTTTTGGCTAAAGATTAAAGTAGACTTCCTGGAGGAACCAAAGTTGTCCAATATGTATGTTACCGTTTGAAGATACGCAGGATCACTGTCAAAGTTTTCCAACTTTAAAATCAAGAGTAACATCTTTTCATTTCTTATTTTATGTCCACAAATGTGGACAAGGTATGACGAGAAAATCTACCTCTTCAATCACAAACATCAAGACTTGTGCTGGATGAAACTAGCTTGCCAAATCACTCAGGATGTAATCAAGTTTGAAAGAAAAAAAAAAAAAAAGTGTTACATTTTCAGCTGTTAAGCCTAAATTGTGCCGAGGTTAAGTTGCCATCTACATTCCTATGTAAATTAAAGTCATTTTGTAGGGGGGGGTTATAGGTCTGTTCCAACATTTGCTTTGAGTTTCTAGTTCAACTGTTGTAGGCTTACATTTTAATACATAGTTGACATCTTTTATTCCGCAAATAAAATTCAACAACTTTGTCACTTGAAAATAAATCTAAAAAGATCAGATGTGGGTTGAACCATGTAAGAAAAAAAAATCCAAAGCATCAAAGGATAAATGCAGCTATGTTCTGTTCAAGGGATCCTGCATAAACAATCATAAAGGCATGCCAAATCAAAAATAGAAGGATGCCAATTTCAAAAGTCTGTCCTTCAAAACATTTTCTCTTCAGGCAGACATATCAAAAATGAAATTTTCACCCTCTCCACTTTCAGTATCTTAGGATTTGTTTCCCTTTTTCATTTTGTGTATATGGCACATTACTGTGGCAACGGTAGTTTGCCAAAACATGTTTGTACTTTCTGATGTTAACACCAAGACACTTGGCTCTCCTTAGCATGGATTTAATAATTATCTCTGGGAAAGCCTGGTCTAAGTTACTGGTGACGGAAAATTCCTTGATTTAAGAATTTGTTTCATTAAGAGTCTTGCATAAAATGGGCTTAAGCATGCAAATGCTAGAGTCCTGAATTTTGTTTTGGAGATAGAAAAATGTTGCTCAGGTTTTTATTGGTTGTCATTTTCACACTGTAGCTTAAAGAAGGAGTTAAAGATGAAAATGCTCCAGTTGTTTAAAACCAGTAACCATTGAAGCAAATCCTCTCAATGCCAGAGAAAGTTAGAATAAGACATTATTCAATGCAAAGTGTTCCGACGCTAGCCGCTTTTATTTTTTACCAGGATAAGGTTTAATATTCATGCGTAGAACAAAAAATGCAATTAAGACATCATGTTCTTGGGTTAGGAGGTGGTCCAATAGTTTTTTCAATCCAGCTCAGATAGTCTTGATGGCAGAGGTCTATGAATGCTGTTGGTTCCCTGCATGGATGTTCCAGATCTCCGGTGAAAGCATTGACACCATAAATCTTGCCTTTGTACTCAACTCCTCCACCGGAGTCGCCCTGTGACAGACAAGCGTCAAACTTTAGCAGTTTTCTGAAGTGTAACAAAATGAAGATGTGCATTTAAAAATGCATTTCTTTTCCTTTATCATGTCAACTTACCAAGCAAAGATCCACTCCTGGAGTTTGGCCACAGAACCAATATTGGTAACTGTACGCGTTCTCGGGAACCATTTTTTGTCTGAGCGGAGTACAGTCAACCTTATTAATATTCCCACACTGAAGAAGTGGTGTAACGTTGGGTTCTGGAGAAAAGAGTAGCTCAATTATTACACCGAATCACAATAGACTGTGTATATAGCCTCTATAATACAAGGAAAAACTCACGTCTGTTGGTAAAAACGCTTCCATAAGTCGAACCGTGACCTGCAATCTGCATCGGATGGTCCCTGAAATTGATCAAATACAAGTTTTAGAAATACAAACGCATGTCAACATTCATGGTGGGAGATAACATTTCCTGTAGAGCAGGGGTGTCCAAAGTCAGTTCTGGAGGGCCAGCATCCTGCATGTTTTAGCTCCCTCACTAATGGTAGTAACAACCTCAGCATGTCAATATCCTTCTTAGGCCCCCTAATGAGCCAGGTGTGTTAAACCAGTGAGAGAACTGAAACATACAGGATGCCAGCCCTCCAGGACTGACTTTGGGCACCCCTGCTGTAGAGGGTAAGCAGTAATTTTAACAATCGTATTACTGCAACAAGAGACCTGGTGTCCTAGTAGCATTTTCTCAAACTACCTGCTAACACCATCTGTGCTGAAAATTTTGTTAACTGGCCCAATACATACTGAAATCCAACAGGGCGTCATCTATAATGTGTCAAATTTATACGCTGCTTTTCAGGATAGTCAGAGATGCTTCATTTCTTACTCACATGAGAGTCTGGTCTGAGCAGTCAGGAAGTTCAATAGCCGTCACTCCATGTGGAATCGTTGTCCTGTCAGGCAGCTTCAACAGCATCAAGTCGTGTTGCCGTCTTCTGAACAAGGGTCCGTCTTCATATATTTTAGGTTTTTTAAAGATACCCAGTGGTATGCGTATTGATACATCGTAACCCAAGACACATCCCAAATGTGCATCAATGGTCCTGTAATAAGTTTAGTAGTCAGTATTTTTGAAATTCATGATTAAAGTTTGAAGGTTGTCATTTTTTGTTGCCAAGAGTTTTAAGTCAGTTTTACAAAGATCTACATTAGAATTCCTCAGATGTTCTTACCGTCCACTTGCCCAGCAGTGATATGAAGTCAGGATCCAGCCGTTACGCAGCAGAGAGCCTCCACAGATAGTTGTATCCTCACCTTCTTTTATCACCAAGCAAACATGATACAGGCGCTCATCCTGTCTGCATGGTCGACCCCCGATGAGTCTCGGTTGTGGAGCAACTTTCGAGCTTGTCACGACACCTAAAAGTCAAAGTTACCAAATGGTGAGGCTCAGTTTCAGGGTAAAATTTTAACAAGTCAGAGCATGTTTTTCACTTTTGGTTTCTGTGCCAGAGATCTCACAAACTTTTGTTCACCACGCCGTCGACACACCCAAGACTGTCATTGAAGAGCTCACAAAATTCATATTAAAAACTAAGCTCAACTTTATTGAAACCAATTCTCATTCCACATCCGAGAGTTAAATCATTTCTTCCCAAAAGGCAATTACACACAGTACATCTTTTTTTTCCAGTTTCCATGGGTTACTTTCACCAATAAACCATGAATCTACCCCCCAGAAACAGTGTTTACCTGCAAACAAGGAATAACAGATAAAGGATGGTCAAATGCAACATGTGACACTCACCAAGCCACAGCAGAACCAGGAGAACCCTAAAGGCAGCCATTGTTGTAACTTGGTGTCTAAAAACTGGTGACCTTTAGTACTCTACAAATTTGTCCACCAACCAATCACAAAGACTCATCAACAAATGGAGTTCACCTGTTAATTTAGGTTCGGGAGCAGGACCACGCCCAAACCACGCCTCTAATTTCCAGGCGGCAGTTGCTACTAGGTACATTTTGTATTAATAAGTATTCAGGGTCACCAGGTGTTACTTGTGCCCCCACCAAAGGTTGGGTTAAATTGACCCAAAATTGGGTTGAAACCCAGATACAGATACCACTATGTCTGGGTGGTAAAAGAAAAAAAAAAGAAGTTTCATATTTTAAATTTCACTATATAAAAACAGGATTAAAAACAATCTGAATTTAAAGCTTTTTTATTTCCATGTGATGCATATAAAGAACTAGAAGACTTTATTTACAAAAGTTATAAAACATAAGTTGTTTCAAAAGTAGATAATTAAATCACTTCAATTCATTTGGCTACAACTCCAGAAGCAGTTCATGTAAAAAGTCTGTTTGAAAGGAAACTGCAAGTAAAACTTTGCAAGTATTTTTTATCGACACTTTAGCAGTTTTGCCCGTCTCCCAGCATGAGGACCTACGGGTTCCATGTTGTCGCATTTTGATAATATCCCATCAGGTTTGTCCCAACCTGATGGAGAGGGAAGACGCACAAAAAAACAAAAACAAAACGGGCCATTAGATGAAGGTTGCATTCTGGGCATCAATCAAGCCAACTGATTGGGTCATGTGTTGGGTAGATTTACCCAATAAAATTATTCAAGTTGTAGAGTTCTGGTAAATTTCTGACCCAACTCTTGAGTTATGAATTTTGACCCAATATTTGGTCAAACTCACCCTATATATGACCCAACAACCTCTGCCCAGAAATTGGGTTATGAAAATGACCCAGCATTTTTTACTGTGTTGCTAAGCCCTGTACTCGGAGCTAGGACAGCTGGCTGCCATGTTTTCTAGTTAAAAAAATGTCTATAGTTGGCAGAAAATCTGAAAATGGTACTTGATGATTGTGCAGTTTTGAAGACTGGAAAATTAATACCTAAACACCAACTATAAAGTCTTAAAATAGGCAATAATAAAAAAAATTATGCTAAGGAGTGGGTCAAACCCATCAACCCAACCCAGTTGAGTTAAAACACCCCAGCATTGGGTCGGCCCATATTTGGACCAAGCACTGGGTTATGAATTGTGTTATTTTTAACCCTGCAGTTTTTTCCATGAGGTTTTCTGGGGGAAGCCCTGGTATTGTGCATTTTTCAATTACATATATTGTATAGTGCATATATCATGATTTCTTGGCTCCTTTGTTTTTTCTTTGTTCTTTCTCCAGGTGTAGAAGCAGACTTGAGTTGTTGTTTTTTTTCTTTTCCATGTCAATGTCTAGTGGATTTAAAATAAACCCAAAGCAATTTCTAATAAAGTTTTTAAAAGAATTGTGGAGTGTTATAGTGAAAGTCACTTGTAAAAGTAAATCTGTTGCATTTCTCCTCAGCACTGCTGGACAGGACATGTAAAAAAAAAAAGTGATTAACCTAAAGCTTAAACTTTACAACAGTGGTCCACAAACTATGGCCCGCCTCCACATTTGGTCCGGCCCCCTGAACAATACCAGAGAGCATTTAGATTTCTTTTTATATACCATATTTTCCGGACAGGCACGTGCAGAGTGGGGGGCTGTGGGTGCTTGAGCACCTGCCCTTTTTGCTCCTTGCCCCCAAAGTGCACTTCTGGTCAATTTTTTTTTTGTTTTTTTTTTTTTGTTTTGGTATTATTGTTTTCTAAGCCCTCTTCTGACACATAATTCAATGTACTAAAATAATTTTTTTGTTGGGTGTTTTCTTGTACAACATAATAAGCCCCCCGGTCACCTTGTTACCTTTGACCTTTTGCCCGTGACGCATGACACAGTTGCCTCTCGCGCAGTGAGATAAGGCGGCTAACTGGGGCGCAGCATAGCGAACGTTCCAGATTACAGAACAGTTTTTGGTGAATTATATATATTTAAAAAAAAAAAAAACGTTTTTGGTGAATAAAGTGGAGTAGACTTGCTACTTGTCAGATGACGGACGGAAAACGTTGAAAGTATCGTTTCTGCTTCAGCACGGAGTCGCGGTTTAAGCAGAGAGGTAATGAAATACAACAGACAATGACTAGTGCTGAAAAGGATAGTATTTTATTTACAGTAGGGATTAATTTCTTTAAAGACTAGGTTGTGTTTTTGACATCTAAGGATTATTTTAGTTCAAAATCTGTGAGCACAGTTTTGCATTTGAAACCGTACACAAATATTTATAATTACAGTTTTGTTTTCAGGCTTGATGTTTATCTCTCTATTATTGTTATTAGTAAATGATCCTTGTTGTAGATTAGCTGCTGCTGTGGTAGCTAAAGTACCACAGAAGTGCTCTACTGATGATCAGTCAGAGAGTTGGTGAGTGTGTCGCCTTTTTTCTTAAACCGAAACACACCGTATTCCACAGTACATGTACACGTTAAGGTTGTCAAAGTCAAGCTAGCATAGCCAAACTACTTTCCTCACCCTAGCTATTTTTTTTTTATTAGAGCTTTATCCTGACCTTGTTGTCTAGTTGTCATAGTGTTATATGTTAACTTACTTTTAAGATTTAGTGATTTATGTTGAGAACTGGACAACTAAAACCAGTGGTTGTCGGGAAGCAGTTTCTTGGATCACGGTTGGACCAGGATCCTGTGTGTGTATGACTTCACATTTCAACATGTCTATAAAATAATGACCAAATAGTTCAGTCTCAGTTATTGTTTATGAGTTTATGTGCTTTATGGGTACTTTTCCTACCCCTTCCTGCCATTAAGACGTTACTAAGGATTTTCTTTACTTGTTCAATTCACAGCTGCTTCGTTTCAGTCTACATTAAAATTATGTCAGTGTGCAGCAGGTGCAGGCCAAGCTGAAGTGAGCTCAAGCACATTTTATGCACTGCAACAAAGCTCCTCTACTCACTGGAACCTTGTTCAGCTGATAAGAGTCTCATATTGTTGATGCATCATCGTGACATTCACATTCGGCATCAAGATTTCACGTGAAACAGGACAGGAAACCAGATAAGAAGCAAAGATTCATTCTCAAGGCAGAAGTGAAAAGAGGGGGAAATAAACATGTCGAATAAACATACCAGTGCCTAAACATTGCATAAGAATGTGTTATTACCAACCTACAAAACCTTCTTTTTTTTCCAAGAGCAAAGCAGGATAAAAAACAGAACTACCACTGCACATAAGATCTTAAATACTTGAAATTATTTTACACAAACATTCATTAACAAGATCTGCAGTCCCAGGGTAAACAGACAAAAGTTAGAATAAAAAACAGCCAGTAAAGTTTTATTTAGCATCTCCAGGTTGATTTACACAGTCAGGAAGGTCAATAGATTTCACCCCAGCTGGAAATGTACCGAGTCAGGGAACTTCAGTGTCATCACCTCTGTCACCGGGTCGCTTTTAATCCCTCGTAATCTTCGAGCCAGAATGTTAGGAGAATCAAATTAACTGAGTTGTTGAGGTCATATTGATGTATTTCTTATGAGCAGTCAAACAAATACTGCCAACAGTAACTCATATATAAGAAAAGAAACTTTTTGTGAGAGCTACGTGTGATTTCATCTGCTGAAAATATGAAAACTTTTTCACACTCTGTAACGGCTTGAGTCAGAATCCTGTGGTTATGAATGCAAAAGCCTTCATGGAGCTTTTTAGCAGCTCTCAGAAAAATAACAATTTAGAAGGATAAACACCAGCGATTCATTTTACCTTTGGGTTTCCTGTTATACCTACGGATGAAATTTATTGCTTTTCATATTTTGCAGATATGTTACCACCTTGAATTTGGCAAGGCAGCCAGAGCAGATGCGGTATTCGTTTACTTTTTCACAGGACTGTCTGGATAACCTCGATCACTTCTGCTCAGCACAGCCTGATATTTGCCCTTGCATGTTGTGTAAGTTGTCAACAGTTTAGCCTGCATGATGTCAGAATATGTAGACTTTTCACCATCATTACAAAACCTGTAGGTGAGGCACTTTCTGTTTTTTTTTTTTTTTTTTTTCCACAGCGCCCTCAGCAAATGATGGAGAAAATAATAATAACCCAGTTTGGTGCTGTTTTGCTGTCATTTATGATATTACTCCTTTTGCTTTAGACAAGGTTCAGAAAACACACACAACCCCTCCACCCCACACACACACACACACACACACCGAGACTCACTCGACAACAGTGAAGTATGTGCAGAGAAGCTGACAGACATGCTGAATGTACTATGAGGTGTGCTGCTTATGTTTTATTGATTATATACTTAAACACTTTTCAGAGTATGAAGGTAGAGGCTTCTCAAAATCTGTTACTTTTACTAAAACAGCTTCATAGCGTCGCTCACAAACTGTCAGCAAGGCTTTGGTCTTATGCTGCTTCATTGATTCCAGAACAAAGTTTTCATTCTGTTATTGTTATCCTGTTAAAACCCACGCCCCTCCCCGTTGTGTCTACATTTTGGCCATCTTGACCCAAACTGTCATCGACGGAGGAGGATCGGTGTTCCTGTCCGCAGTGAAGCAAGTTTTACATCACCAGGAGCTGAGAGCGTATCGACCGGGAGAGAAGCCCCAGATTCCAAATCGAAACTTTAAGTGTTGACTGAAATTAGCAGCTGCTCACACTGAAAAACAAAATGCCTTCTAGAGAAACATTTCATGGCCAGACAAAGGAAAAACTGGGCCAATTTGACCACAGCAACAAACACAACAACCAGCAGAGACAAATAATTGAGAATAATTTACCAACTTTCAAGTATTGTGGAGATGGGACTGGGCTGGTGGTGATGGTGGCATTTTAAATTGAGCAAAACAGACATTTTTATTGATTTATTTGTTTTATTCTTTTTTTTTCAGAGCTCCATTAGTTTCACTTCTCTGCATCTGATCTTCATGAGGTCCACACATGCTAGAAATCCACAACATACATGGATCATATAACAAATTCAAAATAAAAATAACTTCACAACAGAAGCGATAGAT